ATTTCACTTAGTGTTTGTCGAGATACCTTCGATAAAAGTTTTAAAAATGAGTGATCTACATAGGGTGTGGAAATACCGGTTCCCTAATTATATTGTTATATGTTATTATTTTAATAACTTAATTTGATTTAAAAAAAAAAAAAAGTTAGATCGATACTTCTTTCGAATTCTATGAACCCACAAATCTGTTCTCAAATATTCACTTACCTTTCAACTTCACCTATGTTAAAAAATTTTTCATTTGAAGAAAGATCAACACCAATTGGCACGTGGGCTGGTAAAATTGGCGAAATTGCAAGTCAAGATTTTTGTTCTCTATGGTTAGCAATGAAAGGTGCAATATGTCATGTACTTGAAGAAAAAGGTGTGATTAAGGGTTGTAGTTGTATTAAAGAGTATCATTCTGGAAATGAAATTTATGAAAAAGAATGTAAAAACTTTTGTGATAAAAATAGATTGAATGAAGAATATGATGAATTGATTAAAGAGATTATTAGAGAGTGTAATGATGAAAAATCAAATTATAGACATTACAGATTTTTTGCTCAAAAAATTTGATTTTATTTACTTCTACTTTATAGACAATTATATGTGACTTCTTTTTTCATTTAACCCTCTTCATATACTTAATCATATTCTTAATCATATACTTAATCATATTCTTAACATATACTTAATCATATTCTTAACATATACTTAAACATATAAATCCGCAATTACTTGTAGTTATGTACATTGCATTATTCCTATACAAAAAAATTTATAATGGTTTAGTGTAATTAGAAAAACAAAAATTTAAATTCAATTCAATTAGTATAAAACAATGTTAAACTGAGGTACGAACGTACACGTACGTACATCAATATTATTAAAGGTTTATAACAGATAAACTATTTCAAAAAATTGTTGTCCACATAATGACAAAAGTCGATGTTATTTCGGTTAATTGATTATTACTATATAATCGGTTAAAAGTTAAATATAGATTTTATATATGATCATTAAAACAAATATGTTTGTATAGTAATAGACTTTGAAAAAAATTATATACCGTATATATGTCGACTAAATCGTCTTAGAATACCTTGTTTGTAACCCTAGAAATTCCCTAATAAAAATTTATTTACGCGTATTTTTACGTACGTACTCTCAATGATAATATATGGAATACAAACTGGCGTCATGCATAAATAAAAATTTATGCATCATGTGAGAAAACATGGAGAGTTATCTAATGGTATTTGGCTAATATTGTGTAAACATCGTAATCCTAATTGAAAATATTGCCTAATCTGATTTTATTAGCTGTAATTACAATAGAATATAGAGTACTTACGTATATACGTATCTATTTAAAAAATATATATATCTTGTATTAAAAAAAGCAAACTTTTTATACTATATATGTAAGGGAACCATCGGGTTACATAGTACTACGCACGTGTCGTGTAACGAACGTGACTACTCAATTTGGATGGGTT